TAATAATAATAATAATAATAATAATAATAATAATAATAATAATAATACCCAATGATTAATCATTCCCTGAATTCAGCTTCTTGCCATCATCTCCCCTTTAGCATTTCAGAAGTGTTGGACCTCTGTCAGGTTGATGCTGAGACCATTCTTGGCAACTTGGGATTCACGGAAGAATTAGCACAGGCTGCCACTTGGATTCCTGATCGGTTCTTCTCTGTTCCATCCCAAGCTGAGGGCATAAATTTCCATCTCTTTCTAAGAGCTCAGGTCCAGCGGATCGAGATGGAGGATCCTTGCCTCATGTTAGTAAGTAAGTGTCTCTTTCACGATTGGAGGTTCTCTTTTTTTGGCAGTAACAGGCCATTGCTCAATGGCAAAACATCCACTTTGGATGAAAAGGGTCTTGGGTTTGATCTCTCTCATTCCTGGAAACGATCAACAGGCAGTAGGTGAACAATTCAGGAACAGGCTGAGGAATCTGTGATTGATCAGATATTGAGGAAGCTCTACTCCCAATAACTCCAATCAGCACAGCCATGATGTAAATATCACAAACAGAGCCATTTGTGCTGGCACGTGAGCCGCAGGCAAACTTACCTCACTGTGCATGCACGTACCTCACAGCTGACTTTTTGGCTGGTTTGAGGCCTTTCTTGGCCTCCTAGAGGCTTAGAAAAAGCCTCTGCAAGGCTTTTCAGGCCGAATTATAGGTCTGTTTCATCACTTCCTGTAATACCAGAAGTGACGAAACGGGCCTATAATTCATCCTGAAAAGCCTTGCAGAGGCTTTTTCCAAGCCTCAGGGAAACTGAAAAGGCCTCAAACTAGCTGAAAAATCAGCTGTGAAGCACAGTGCAGGTAAGAGGGTGGCGGGGGGAATTGTACGGGCGTGTGTAGGGAGCGTGGGGAGGGGGGCGCGCATTGCATTCTGGGTGCTGGCATGCACAGGTTTTTGGCACAGGAGCCCAAAAAGGTTAGCCACCACTGGCCTATAGCATGTAAAGCTGGTTCAGCAATAGGTGTAAGATTATGTGTTTCCCACCTTTGAGTAAAACAATAAGCACGCATAGGGTTTAACACTAATTTTAAAATGATTATCCCCAGATGTATCTCTGTGCATCCCCAGTCTGCACCTATATCTACAAGTAGGCCTTGACTTATGACAACTGACCCAAAATTTCTGTTGTTAAGTGAGGTATTTGTGAGTTTTGCCCCATTTTACAACCTTTTGTGCCACTGTTGTTAAGGGAATCACTGCAGTTGTTAAGTGAGTATCTCTGTGGTTAAGTGAATCTGGCTTCCCCCATTGACTTTGCTAGTCAGAAGATCGCAAAAGGGGATCACATGACCCCAGGACACTGCGACGGTCATAAATATGAACCAGTTGCCAAGCGTCTGAATTTGGATCGTGTGACCATGGAGATGCTGCAAAGGTCATGACTGTGAAAAATGGTCACAAGTCACATTTTTCAGTGCTGTTGTAACTAAATGAACTGTTGTAAGTCGAGGACTGCCTGTATTTATATGGCATAGCTCTGTTATAATCTACTTTATTCCAATAGAAATGACAACATGGTGGGCTGTTGACAGGAAGAACGACGCAAAATCATTGTTGAGGATGCTGGCAATTGTGCAGTTGTAATGGTTGCGGGTGGGGAAAGTGCCTTAGAATTTGTCGAACATCAGGCAATAGTATGGTTTGTTTATTTAGTTATGTATTTTTTACTAAATATATACATCTCCCATCATGACATCTAGAGCAAGTCCGGGTGACTTGGCTACAAATTGCAATGATGAGATTGCAAATTATATTTAATAATGTAGAAAGGAGAAGCGATTTGGGGGGGGGATGTGGAGACCCACAAAACATTGGGGAGGAAGCCCCATCCTTACTGAGACTCCATGACTCCTTATAACTTTGGATGGTACCTCCCAAAGTTATCCCTAAGCCATAGTCTTTAATATGAAAGGTGGGAAGAGGGAAATCATTACATGTGCAATTTTAATCATACAAACTCTTATTAATTTTAAAATAACATTAGCCTTGAACTTGGTGGATAACTTGGTTGTAGGATAACAGCTTCCTATGATGTTCCTCAAAAGATATGCAAACAGTTAGTAGGAAAGCATAAAAACCAGACAATCGTTAGCTACTTTGAGTTACCTGAAATATCATTTCAACAAGGTGGAGCACCAAGTTTAACCTTATATGGGCTCAGCAGCTAAGCAGGATTAAGCCTGGTTAGAACTTTGATGGGTGATCACCAGGAAATACATGAGCTGAAAATTAGATTGGGAAAGTGAAAAACGTTCTGGAAGAAAAACAACCATAGCTTCCATATTGCTGTCAGGAAAGCTGCATGGATACACCATGTGTTTACCAGAAATCAAACTTTATTCTAGAATATTAGGATCACCATTTTGGGTGCAAAGGAGTGCTGAACATAGGAAAGGACATTAAAGGGTAGTCCTAAGTTATGCCAGTTGTGATTTATACAATCTTGAAGTTTCACAAGGAGTGAAAAAGCAGAGGGGCCTTTTTTTTTTTTTGGTCACACATACTATGGTACATACACAAACAGGAGTCCATTCACTCATGCACAAAAACAATTTTTGTTTTTTAAACACATTTATATGGCTGCCCAATTCACACCCAGTGACTAGCTAACCTATGCAAAATCCAGCATTTGCAAGGAATCCAGAAATGGAACAGAGATGGGAATCACATTGTTGCTTTTGTATATTAATTTGCCTAAACCATCCAAGGTGGACATAGTGCTATTAAATTAGCATTGTTTAAATAAGAGTGCAAACTATTCAAATATTTGTCATCTTATCAGTATGTTTACTCTCAACTGGCAATGTGCACTGCAAAGTCTGGCCTGCAAATATGAAAAATCGAGGAGCAGTTAGTACTTTTTCAATCTGAGTGGCTTTTTTTTCTCTGACACATCTCTCTGCTCCTTTTTCAGGTCGGTTCAGAGATGTCCAAACTCTGAATGAAACAACTGATGATTGCTTCTGCCTCTATTCGTATATATCTAAGACACCAGTACAGGAAACCTCACCTGGACACTTGTTCCGGGCCTTTCCAGAAATCCCGGATTCCTGGAATATTCCTTCCCAGCCAGTGTCTTCGTCTTCACTCCATGCCCTGCAAAAAACTATGTGCTTGTGTACCTCATCCCAGAAAGAATGGCCCCTGAGAGCTTTCAGTATGCAGTCTCCTGTGAATTGCCTGGAACAGGATATGTGGGAAGTGATACATAAGGCTCACAAAGGTCGATTTCCGTTTAACGTGGAAGAACTGGAGGATGAAACTCAAGCAGTGTCCATGAAGGATTCAGTTTGTCACCGTAGAATAGGCAGAAAGGTAGCTTCTTCAGGATCTGCCTTCATAGAGACACCTCCAGCTATTGTTCCCTGCAGCTACTGTGAAACTCCATATTATTTGTGGAAAAGTGCAGAAATATCCTTGCCAGGATGGCTTTCTTTCCATTTTGGTGGGACAAGAAAGAAGACGTTGGACAATGTTGGCCCCCAAGAGGTAGGCCATTTTGGACATCATTCTTCACCAGAAGCTACCTCTCCAGATGAAACCAGTGAAGAATCTGATGAAGAGTAACCCATTGAGAAGAGAAGAGGACTGTATGGATCTCTTGATAGAATTCCTGGCAAGGAATTTAGTGTGTGCACAAAACACAGGTATCCAACTTCTCCAACATGATCTTAATCATGTACTCTGTGGCCTAATTCCATACATTAAAGCTCTAGCACCATATTGGTGCTCTGAAGATTAATAGTAGAGACCTACTTTAAATGGATAACATGAAGATGACTTAACTGATGGTAAAATTGCTTGAATTCGTTAATTATTATTTGTATTATTACATTCAGTAGCTTTTGGAGATCTGAATTCAGCACAAGTCTTTGCTGGAGGATGGACACCTGCAGATAAACAAAATATTACTAATAATGTTGCTGAATGTCCTACTCAAAGAAAAAAATGCAAGTATTTATACTAGTGACTTGGATGCAAAACATGGGTTTAGTCCAGCTCTATGTGAATGCTAAGAAGCGTTGACTTTATCATCTCTGAAGTAAAAGCTGGAGCAATGAAGAATACATGAATGCAGAAAAAGCCTCATTTCTATCAGAACTACATCTTGGAGAGAGAGCAAGAGACTAAGAGGCTAGATGAGAAACAGGTGCAAGAATTATGGAGATGCTTCCCTTTATCTATCTAGTTCAGGGGTGTCAATCTCACGGCATCACGTTGTCATCACATGACGTATTGTGACTTTTTTCTGCTTCACTGAACCGGGCTTGGGTATGGCCAGCACATGATGTATCTGGCCTGTGGGCTGCGAGTTTGACACCCCGATCTAGTTCAAATAGCTTATAGGCACAAAGAGATATAGCCTCCAACAGAAATATTTTTGAGTAGTGATGAAGGGATTGGGAAAACCTTCAGAAACTTCTGAAATCACACAACTATAGTTCAATGATAAATTATCACAAAATGGGGGGTAATTTCCAACTGTTCTTTCTTAACAGGAAAGAAATATGTATAAGACATTCGAAAGGAAAAAATATGTTGAAAAAAGTTATGTCTAAAAAAGAGACCCCTCCAAAAACAGCTCCTTCCTTACGTTTGGTTGAAATGATAGAAATGTCACAATTGGTTGCGTTGACTTTTTTCTAGGGTTGCTTCAGGCCATTTCCCCAAACTGTGTGAATAGGTCACAGTATTTCTATAATGAAAAGAGTTGAATTGTGTTTTGTTCCAGATCAGCACCCTTTTATCAATATGCCTTAACAATGAATGAGTAATGAAGTTAGGATTCCCGCCTTTGCTTGACCAGCAACCCTGAGGTGCACCCAAAATGCACCATTTCGCAGAACTGCTATATTTGCAATTTGCATTTGTCTTTACATTACAGCACAATATAAAATAAATTTTAAAATAGCATCAATTTTATGGTGAAATCAGTGCAGTTTTGGGGGGGGAAAGAAGCCCAGAGACTATTGCTTCAAGTAAAACTATTTGTGGTATACGTGTAATTAGGTCTAATTTCAATGAGTTTAAGGAATTTTGAGATACATGTATGTTTGGGTCCCCCTTATCCCACAACCATAGAAATGTGGCTGCAAACAGTGATGGTGAAAGAAGAGGAAAATATATTTTAGGAGAAGTGGCCTTTTGCATTATGGCAGGGGTCCCCAACCTCTGGTCCATGGATCAGCACTGATCCACAAAATTCCTGAAACCAATCCGCACAAACAAACGAAGCCTCATCCAAGGGGAAACATTCCCACTCTGGTCTGCAGAAAAACCTTTCTCCACAGAACTGGTCCCTGGCGTGCAAAAGGTAGGGGCCTCTGCATTCTGGGACCAGAATAGCACCTTTGTTCATGCAGTACAGTTTTGCTTATAAATATAAATAAAATAAAATCCTACTTAGAAAATCCTATTTAGTCTCATTGACTAATTTATTTATTGAATTACGTGGAAATAATAATAGCTTGCCAAGAAAAATAGGTCGGCATGGAATGTTACAAGTACACCAGAAAGTTGAAAAGAAAAAAATGGGTGTTGGAAGCAATACATTAAAACATAGATAGTTCTAACTCTAAAAAAGTATTGCACTATATATAGGTAACTGCCTTACAATATAAAGAGTAATGTCAACTCTACAAAGCCTATAAACTATATAAAGATCCAGGTCCTGATGGGTTTTTTGGAATATAATGTAAGACTTTAAAAAATGCCTTGGTTAAATCATTAAGTCAAGGAATGGATGAAATTCAGGGATGTGAAGATCTTTCTTTCTTACAAAACAAGTTTTGTCCACGTGGAGTTTGAGACTATGGATTTTTGAGGATTGGTGTCGGAACTGCCCCAATCTGATCCCTTAGGAAAGAAAAACCATTGACTCCATTTGGTTGAAGCAAAAGGTTCTTTTACTAAAAAGATTTTGGCTGCAATAAAGTCAGGCGACCTCTGGGTTTCCCATGCTCAAAAGATATAGAAAGTTTTCCCCTCATCCCAACTCTTCCCCAAGACCATTCCATCTTCATCCAATCAGAACTTGTCGAAGCATTTTGAGAATGCAGTGATGTTTTGGGGTAATCCAATTTTTTTTCTCAGGGTGCCTGGCCTTTGGATGCTGGTACAAACTGGTTCTGAGCTTCTCTGGTATCTATCACCTGTCATTCCACCCTCCCTATTTCCCATCACATACGCACAGATATTATTGCTCATCTATTCCCCGCCCCCTCTTCTAGCCTTTGATGGCGGGATGCCTGTGAGGCATCAAGCTGAACCCAGCAGACATTTAAGATTTTAACTTGTGGGTAATGCACTTTACAGGAGTATCTGGAAGCAGCAGCTGGTTCACAATATAGCAGTGCTGGCAGATGTTTACTCCTTAATCAGCACATGTTATATCTCTGCTCTGTAAGCTGCATTGGTTGCCAGTATGTTGCTAGGCTCAATTCAAATGTTGGTTATGAGCTACAAAGCCCTTTGATATTACTTGAGGAATCATCTTTCCCTGGTTATATCCATCCATCCCACCAGGATCAGCAGTAGAGACGTGCTGCTGGTCCCATCTAAGAAAAAGTTATATCTGGTGGGATCCAGGAAGAACCTTCGTTGTGGCAGCCACTGTTTGGAATAGCATCTCCCTGGAAATCAGAGCAGTCCTGTTGGCCCTTCCTAAGGCTTTGAAGACATAACTCCATCACTGATCAGGGTGGGTGGGATTAATGGCAGATTCTGTGAGATGATTATGTTGATGATGGATTTTGATATTTGCATATATCCTGGCTTCTGTTTTAATGTTATGCTCCTGTTAGGTTCTATTTCTTAAATTGTTGGTCATCCAGAGTCACAACAATGAAGTGGGGCTGTGATGCAAACTGAAATAAGTAGACAGCATTCTATGTAGGGCTGCAATATGGTGATATAATCAATTGTACTTTACTAAGAAACTTGTTCTATTCTAAAGTCTTCAGTGTTTGCATCCAGGATACTTTTGCACTCACTTTTTTTTCCCACGCACTTGAATAAGCTATGAAATGCAAGACCTTGTACAAGTTTCTTATTGCTATTTTTCTTGGCTTAAGAAATTCATTTGTAGAAAGTTGGAAGAGATGTTTCAAAATGTTCTGCATATGATTATTCTGATCGCAAATAATCAGACTGTTGGTCTACATTTTCAAGCTGAAGTCTTTTCCTCAGTGCAAATTCAAAGACAGTTAACTCCAGTGGTGGGATTCAAATTTCTTAACAACTGGCTCTGTGGGCGTGGCCTAATTTGTGGGTGTTGCTTGGTGGTCATGTGACTGGGTGGGTGTGGCTTGGTGGTCACGTGACCAGCCAGGTGTGGTTTGGTGATCACGTGACTGGCTGGGTGTGGCCAACTCAACACCACTTCTTTGCCCTCATGACTTTTTTAAGTATAAAAAAAAGATATACCAAAATAAAAGGTAGTTTATTATTTCATGTCTTTAATGCTTAAATAATAAAAAAGGTAGACAAAACTAGATTGTTACAATGTCTTAAAATATTAATCAAAACTATTACATAACAAAACTTTACAAAAAACAATAAAACTTATTTAAAGTACTGCCAAATTGCTTTTTTATTGGCGTCTTCAGTTACAGTTTTCTTTTGTTTGACAGGAGCATCAACAGCTGTGAGATATGCCCATAACCATTTCTTTATGATAGGAACAAGGGTCCCATTCTGGCAGAGGTAAGCCAATTAGATTGATTGTCAGCAAGTTTGCTCTATTGGAAACTATTAGGCAACTTCTGTCCTCTGAACATATTATGTTCATATGTGAGTTTTGCCTCTGCTGAGCTGACTGCAATAGTCCTAACAATATCTCTAGCCTTTTTAATGCTGCAAGAAATTGTATATTTTTCTGAATCTTTTAATACATTTTCTATGAAATCGCGATAATCATTAATATTGATTTCATAACTGAAAATTTCACCAAATGCAACCAATTGTTCTTCAGCTGCTTTCCATGGAACCACCACTTCTTCAATGTTCCAGTAACCTGGCTCCAAATAATTTAGAAATTTTAATTTACAGTGTCTTTAAATTGGCAACCTGTTTTTAAATGTTCACAATCCATCAATCTTTTCTTCAAATTAGTTACAATGCTTTCTACAAGTCTTTTACAAGGAAGTCCCACAGATCAAAGACTTTGTACAAAATTTATATTTTTGTATCCATCAACCTTTTTTAAAAATATGCACCCTTTTCCTTTATAAGCGTTTCAAATGATTTAATTCATCTTACCACAAGTTTTTCAGCCTTTATAATGTCTATGCTTCTCACTTGCAATGCATTAGAAAGAAAAGATATTTCAATTAGGACATCAATCATCAAGGCCAAATCAGTGAGAAAATATGTGTTTTTAAGCCATACCCGAGTATTTTTTATTTGAACAGAAAAACTGGTGTAACAAACTCATACAGTAGTTTTAAATCCCGAGGACCACTAATACAAATTTTAAAAAAAGAATATATTTAATCAGGAGTAGGATTCAAATTTTTTAACAACTTTCCCTTGCTGCCTTTGCCTGCTTCCCAGCCTAGGAATGCTGCCTCTTTTGCTGCCTCCCCACAAAAAAACCCTTTCTTTCTTTCTTTCTTTCTTTCTTTCTTTCTTTCTTTCTTTCTT